GATTTATATATTAGAATACAGTTTTCTCAATCTTGTTTTAAAGATTCTTACATTTCCTGATGTCTTTACTAGGTATATCTTCATACATTCTCAAACCTTCAATGAAGAGAGTTTTTTCCGAAGCATTCGTGTTGAAACCTTGTATGTAGAACTGATCATTGAATCTCAAATTATAATGCAACGTTCGTGCCAGTTCAATTATGAATTTTTGCAAGTAGGAATTAAGGAATATTATGCGCAAGAATTTGTAACTTCGTTATCTGTTGGATTATAAACACAAATGTATATTGATTCAGAATCCTTGTAAGATTTTACGTCGATGTGGATGGTATTCAATGCGAAATTCGGACTTTTTCAAATTTCGCGCAAAAATTTTTAAATTCGTTATCCGTTGGATTAGAAATACAAATGTGTATAGATTCTGAATCCTCTTGAGATTTCACGTCGATCTAGATAGTTTTCAATGTAAAACTCAGGGTTTCTCAAATTTTGCGCAAGAACTTGTAACTTCGTTATCCGTTGGATTAGAAACACAAATGTGTATTGATTCAGAATCCTTGTGAGATTTTACGTCGATCTAGATGGTTTTCAATGCAAAATTCGGGATTTTTCAAATTTTGCGCAAAAACTTGTAATTTCGTTATCCGCTGGCTTAGAATCACAAATATGAATTGATTGGATGGATGCTGCATGTGAGATTTTACGTCTCACAACCGCAAGGTCGTGGGTTCGATTCCCAGCACGGGCAAGGAACTTTTTTCAATATTTTATTTACGAATTAAATATTGTAAAGTTTCGGAGCAGCGGCCGGGGATAGTCCTGCACGATTCGCTGTTGCGTTCCAATTAACAGTGCTGCTCCTAAAGTGGCGCATGACGTTAGTAACAAAGCCTACACAGAACACGCAGAAAGAAATGATGATGTGGTTGTGAGCATCAGAGGAGAAGTAGAACGGTGTATGTAGGTGGGTGTGGAAAACTACCAGCTGAGCGTGAGAGCGGGCCAGCTGCTTAAGTAGACCTCGGCTTCGGAGGTTAACGAGGATAGTTAGCAGGCCTGCCACTGCGCATATGGTAGTAGGTACATTACTAGCCTACAAAACACAGCTGAAAAACTCTGAAAAGAGAGCTGATGGGCGGTGCCTGAAAAGGATGTTAGCCAGCTCTCTTGAGCGAACCACATCAGTCATTGAAAACACTTGGGGTTTGCAAAAAGGTCCCATTGAGGACTAGTTGCTGACGTGGAGACGTCCCCCACCAGTACCAGTACCAGTACCAGTTACGTCGATCTAGATACAAAAAAATCAATATGCACAGAAAAGTTGAGTTGAGGGTCAAAAAGAATTACGAGATACTTTATCCCATTAACATACATTATTTCCGAATTATCAATTGTTAGCACGAAAGTCAGGCTAGCATCATAATCCAAAACAAGCTGAAGCCTACCCCAGAACCATCACATTCTTGTGACCTATCTTTCAAACCCCTCCCAATATCAATTGTCCCTAGACGTGGGAATCTACAAGGTATAAGCTCAACAATCAAAGCATCAACGAGGTTGGGATGACATTAACATATTACCCCTAAACGCTCAAGCCAGCTTGATCACAAGTGAGATCTTCCTTATTTATCAGCTTTGATTGCCGTACCTGGTGAAGGTTGCAAAATGGCTTATTAGCCTGTGTGAAACTGCTTCCTTGCTTCGCCTGCTTGACTCAGTATTGAGTTTATCTTTTGCTCATTTAGAATAATGTATTTATTATTAAGTACATTTTGTGGTCACATAGAATTGAGTATTGCTTGTGCTTCCTATCAGTGTTGAACAGAGACAAATGGGACTTCATATCCATGTTCATACCAGAAGTAACAGGATATAAGTCAACCTGTGGTATACAGGGTGTTTCATGAGAAGACTCACATAGAGAAAAAGGTTAATAGGGGAAATCAAGACGAGTTGATGTATATAAATGAAACATTTCTTTACCCTCCATAACGAAGATACAGGGTATTATTTGAAATTGCTATATAACTTCGATGGCAGATATTACAGAAATGATTCATCGTGATCAACTGAAATTTGGCAGCGATGTTTTTCTACTCAAACTATCCAAGATGATATATTATGAAGAGAAATATCCAGGTCCGGACTTGAAAAAATTCCATGTTTCATTGTTTTGTCAGAAAAGTTCACTTTGTGACCACTTTTCTCGAAAAATTTCATCAGATACAGAAAGACCAGACGAAAATTCATAAGAACTGCTCTTCAATTTGCACGGCACACTTTGACAAATTCAATGGAGGAATATGGAACAAAAACGTTCGAATGAATTTTCAATTTTGACCTGGTTGATAACTCTCAACTTTCAACTCGCTTCGTGTAAATTGATTTTTTTGTACATTCTCATTGGATAGAAATTGACAGAAGAGGAAAGTTATGAATTTTTTATCATTTGACATGTTAGATTTTGGCCGAACTTCTAGATATATATGATTACTCGTGACTCTATTTCATAAATTCGTTCTAAAGTAGGCCCTATTTTTATTTTATGAAACGTGGCGTTTGTTGATAGGTAAACACTGGTAATCGAAATATTCTTGCACTCTAGGTGCCACTTCATATTTCGAATGCTGAACAAGACGAAAATCAAAATGTTATGCCATGTTTAATTCCATAGAATATTTCCAGGCCTAAGAATACGTTGCAGTGAAACCTTCACGACGATGAAAATGAGGAATTTTGAATAAATAGCAAATGCATCCTTATATCACTTGCAGAAGTGTATCAATAACAAAAAATGGGGCTGAGTTTATGCGTGATGGCATAACTAATTCGAAGAATAACCATAATATGGGCAGGCACATGAATCCTCATTACGTAATTTCATCAGTTGGTACATACCTAGTCCTACCCTAGTACCTATACCTATCAGTTCGGATTATCAACAAACGTCACGTCTCGTCACACAAATGGAAAATAGTTCCTACTAGATGTCTTATCATTACTTCAATTGAAACTCATAAAACAATGTCAGTAATAATAATATCCATCTGGAATTTCGATAAAAAAATATCGTGTTTTTTCTTCTCGTCTATTCTTCGGTCTCTACTCAACAAAAATGTAGAAAAAATCAATTCACATGATACCAGTTGAAAGTTGACAGTTATATCAGCCAGGTCGAAATTCAAAATTCATTCGGATGATTTTGTTCCATATTTTTTTATTGAACTGGTCAGAGTGTGCCGTGTAAATTGAAGAGCAGTTCTCATAGCATTTTGTCTGATCTTCCTGAATCCGATGGAAAATTTCGAGAAAAGTGGTCACAAAGTGAACTTTTTTGACATAACAATGAAACATGGAATTTTCCTAAGTCCGGATCTGGATATTTTTCTTCATAATATGTTATCTTGAGAAGTTCTGGTAGAGATACGTCGCTGCAAAATTTCAGCAGATTACGATGAATCATTTCTGTAATATGGGCCATCAAAATTATATAGCAATTCCACATAATACCCTGTGTATCTTCGTTATAGAGGGTCAAAGAATGTTTATATATATATAGATCAACTCCTCTTGATTTCCTCTAATAATCATTTGGCTATGTGAGTCTTCTCATGAAACACCCTGTATATACCTGTGGGGCGGTCGCAGGGTACAGTGATGCTCAGCTATAGGCCTGATTACTGAGTTCTGGAGAACCAGCTGATATCATAGGAGTTATGTCATGAATTTCATAGAATGTCTTGGATCCTGGAGCTGGGTTGATGATTGAATAAGACCATAGTAAGATTTCACCCAAAACATCTTCATCACATAATTACTATTTTGTTTCGTCATGTTCAAGATAGTTCACAAAAATATGGTTGCCTTCTCTATTTGACGTTTGACTTTATAATTGACAGTCATTTGAAGTTGATTCATAGCAATTTGTCATTTGTCAACGTTCATACGAACAGTGTTGCCGAGTGACCACTATGGACAGTTGGGTCTGTGTTCTGTGCTAGATCCTTAGATGATTAATGAGTCAGACTAAATAAACGTAACTTGAGAGTTGCGAAATTTATTGTTCAACTTATTTTACCCTCCCCTCTTCCCGAGCTGTATTCTAGGTTACAATTTTCCAATCTCGAAAAATACCAAAAATTCAACGACAACGAAATATTGCCCCTCGAGTAGTGAGGGGTAGCATAATAGGCGCTCAAACGTGTTCGGCTCTGTTTATTTGAGGTGACCAGTGAGCAACTCTCAACTGAGGTTCATTACAGCATCTCCGTTTTTTTTCTCCTTCCGGTTAGTGATTTGGATTTACTTGGGCTTGAGATTGAGCAGACAGGTATGGTATGATATCACCGATGGTTATCTCACGATTCCAGAATTGTTGGTGAAGATAAGCGGTACTAGGAACTTCAGATTTATAATTTAGGAGCGTTGAGATTATACCTATACAAGGTGCTGTGGTCAATTGGAGACAGAGGTGTTCGGGGTCTAGTATACGAGGGTTATATGAGGAATCGCAATATCCGGATTTCGGGAGAGGTATATGGATATACAGGGTGGATATAAAATCGTAACATATCCATAACATAACCTTTCCGAAAAAGGGTATACATGTTTGAAGATTTTTTTGCTTTTTCGAGGTTTGTGAATAATTTGTACAGGGGTTATAAACAGAGGGTGTATATAAAGTGTTATATTTTGTTGTCTCTCGACTATCGCGAAGGAGGATATAGTTTCGGAGATTATTTTTCCTGTTTTATCGTGTTCTGGAGATGAACTTTACAGGGTGTATATGAATAATTGCAGGTTTTTCCTCAACTATCTTTCAAGGAGGTTGGATATCTCGATTAGTCTTCCTTTTCCTTCCCGAAGGTATAGATACGAGAGACGGTTACTTTAAGGTGGTTTCAGGTTGTTCTTGGTAGGGGTTCGGTATACTTCGTGAGATTATTTTTTGAGCAATCATTATCATCTTAGATTTGTGTAGAATTTTAGAACAATTTTAGAACAATCGTCTTGTGGAAGATGAACTGACATACGAACTTCAAATACAAGGATTGCCAATAGAAAACAATGTGGCTGAAAACGGAACAGCGTTGAGAAGAGTATCCGAGATGGAACGTTAAAATCCTGCTCACGAGCTCCAGTTGCGATCAGGTTGGTTTCAGAAGATCAGATCCCGATAACTGAACGGAAGATGATGAAACTTCAACAGAACTTTTGGAGTTTTGATCACTCTCACGAAGATAAAGAATTTGCGTCTTTGCTGATCAAGAGATGTTCAGAGATGATAGAGGACTACCTGAACTAGGCTCTTGAGAGTCCATTAGTGAGCTAACGAACAGAAGAGAAAGCCCAAATTGTCAGGGATCACGGTCTCTACTGGACGAGGATGCCCAAGTGGAGCACACGGTTCATCCAATCGAACCTTTAATTTCGTATGATCTCATTGATCTGACCAATGAAGAAGGTGGCATCAAGTCCGTAGATATACCCAGGATAAACTACGGAATGCGCACTATTTGACCACTTTGGACATCAAATCTATATCTATCTATATTTTTTCATCGGTTGGAGCGCTCGAAACGGAATTCCAATAATATTCGAATATCGATAGGCATCAGAGATGGTAGGTATTTTTTTTGATTAGCTACTTATTTTCATGTTTTGAAAGGTATCTTTTTGACAAGTGAGTTCAATCCTGGAATTCCTCTTCGAATAGAGTCTCTTTCCGATTCTTATAATACTGTAACGTCATTCGGGTGCAGAAGCGAACACGACACTATTTATTTTCGAACTGATTTATTTGAACTATAAAAACATCAATTTATAACGAACTTAGAACTACTATTTATATAAAATGATTAATATCATGCGGTAAATAACTGTCTCTCTGACACTCACTGCTCGATTGACTGACGGCAGTTATTCGGCCGTTTATATATGAGATCACTTGGCAGGCTTTGGTTCGAGAACGTTCTCGAATGATCTTCCGTCTCCTTCTTTATGTTCTAGAAGCTTCTAAGAACAAACCTCCCTCTCTAATTGTTCCATCGATTGTTTCCAGAACATTCCAGAATCTTCTGTGACTGCGGCATATATTGAGTGTTCGGAAATATGCTAGTGCATGTAGGAATCATTGGGAGGTTGGAGAACGATTTGAGTTGCGTGTTACAGGATGAGCGTTGTACTCCTGTCTTACTGATGATGTTTCTAAAGCCCCTCTGAGTAAAATATCATTACAATACATTGACTCAAAGATATGATGTTGAAAGTGATAATGGAAGCAGTTCAACAAGATCAACAAATGAATAAAATACAATCAAAAACGAACGGGCATATTCATTCATGGTAGCGCAGGATCTAAATATACTAAATAAGGAAATTTCAAGTGTCACATATTCAGGTCAAGTCAGTTGTTTCATAAAAGTCATGAAAATATGAATAATGAGATGTTCACAGCCACTTATCCACCATTTTATCAAGAAAATTCTTCGATTCCAAAGGCAAATCCACCACCGCATGGTACTGAGAGTTTGGGTTATAATTATTAGTGATACATCATGAGAAGGTTTGGAAAAAAAGAAGATGAAATATCGGAGGAAAGTAATGACACACTCGCCTGCTTATGATCCTTGTACTGCAACCAGCTCCAATACTATGGATGAATGAATAGGGGTATGCATCTACCATTGGCCTGATAGTGGGTGGCTTGATAGATTGTGAAAAACCACTATATGTTCCCTGTATTGACAGCTCTTCTTCAGTCCTGGAAGGAACTGTAGACTGAGTAGTGGATGTGTCTCTCCTTCATATCAGTAGACAGAAAACAAATATCTTGGAAATCAAGTCCTGAGGCTAATTATAAATCTCGTGCAGAATACAACCAGAATTTAGTTGCTTGAAACTTGTGCTCCCAAACTACAAATTGCTATGTTGACCTCGAAGATTCGCTCGTGAACCAGAACTTTCACTGGCAACCTTGAACTTCTGGTAGTAATCTACAAGTTACGATCGTGACCTGAAAATCTTGAAACCCTTAAACGCTGAAAGAAATAACCTGAGTGGTTTTTCATTTCAATTTCTCCACATTCTGACATTTGGAGGTCGAAAAAAGACTTACCCCTTCGAAAAAGATATATTGTTAGGTCTGAGTGGCGTATTTCCTAATCTTGTAGTGAAGATCAAATATATTTTTTGGCCAGAAACACCGATACCGTCCGTGGTAGCGAAATAGCAGGAATGGTGCAGAATTCTCAAAGATTCTCTTTGGGTATCTGAATATTATACCAGCAGTACAACAAAACCATCCAACTTCAGTCAAAGCTTGCCGAGAAGTGTCAAATGTTCGAAAAATCCCTCCTCTTCTTCATCATCACAGAAGTTGAAGCTTCGAAAGATCGAACGAATTAGACAACACAACTACATGGGAAATAACAATGTCACATGACAAATTGTATGGATAGCAATCACATGTCATCAAAAATTGCAAAGCATGGAGTTTTTTTCCGAATCACCTCGAACAAAATACTTCTGAATGAATTGGATTTTCTAGAATGAAACGGCTAATATATAAAATAAAGATAGAAACAAATAGCAACATGGTTTCCTGCAACAGGTCGTTGTTACAATAAAACTGTAAAATAAGCAAATGTTGCAATAGTGTAGACAATGTTAAGTAGAACAACTGAGTTATAATATTATAATATTCATATACAAGGCGAATATAATATAATGGGTGAAACAGCATAGCAGTTCACAACAATAGGAGGACTATCAAGTACAGGTTAACTGATACATCTTTACATAACCTACACCTATATTTGTTGCTTACAGCTGAATATCTCACTCTAAAGGATAATATTATCTACAAAGATAACTTCCACGACTGCGCTAGAACGTGAATAACATAAGATGAAAGGGATTTCAGTACGTATTATAACTCTGATGATAAACATTCATTCTTTCTAGGCGACACCCAAAAATTATCGAAAACTACCCAGATAGCACAAATTCCTTTTGAGGCCCTTCTGAGGCGTTCACAATAATGTCCTCAGGACGTCGAGAGCGAGCCAGAGGACATTCTTAAGACGTCCTCCTGTTACCATTCTCTACATACTAATAACGTCTCAGAACATCCCTATAAAATCTTTTGAGACAACCTCAGGACATCATAGTAACAACTTGAGGCGGTTTTTGATGATGTTTCAAGGAGGTTCAAGATTTATGGGAGAATATTATTCGTATACAGAATGAGTCACTAGTGTGTTCTCCTCCGATATTAGCCAAACCGTCAGATATATAGAATGAAAATTCAAGTACAACAGTAATAGAGTTTCATAAGAACAATCACCTAAAGTTGTTTTCATATCTATAGGGTTTTCGAATTCCAAGATATCGGTTGATGATTGGTTTTTTCCAATGGAACACCTTGTATATTATTACATTTTTGAGTTTTCCCTGAAGAGTTGATTTCATCAATGCATCACACTTGGTGTCTAGTGGGAATTATTACAGAGATATAGGGTGTTGACAATCGAGATTCTTCAAATGTATGATTTTTTGTATCGAAACTATTCATTAATGGTCAAAACGGCTCACATGTCCCTGTCTTAACTTTTGATTAGCTATCTACTGATATTTATTTGGAACAGATACAATAAGCTGATCAGTATTCTGAATGTTGAACCACCCTCTATTTGTTCCAATTGAATGTCATTAGATAGTAAATCAAAAGTTCATAAGGAAATGTGAGCCGTTTTGACCAATATTGACTAGTTTCCACAAAAAAAATCCTAAAATTGAAAAATCTTGTTTTTGAACACCCTATATCTCTGTTATCATTCCCGCTAGACCCCAAGTGTGATACATTGATGAAATCAGCTCTTCAGGGAGAACCTAAAAATGCAATAGTATACAGGGTGACCCATTTGGAAAAAAAAACAATCATCAGTCAATATATCTTGGAATTCAAACACCCTATACAGATATGAAAACAATTTAATGTGAAAGTTCTCATGAAACCCTATTACTGTTGTACTTGAATTTTCTCTATTTATCTGATGGTTTGGCTAATATACAAGGATAACACACTATTGACTCACCTCGTATTATGCAAATGATAATTTCTTCAAAATAATATGGATCTCATGATATTTGCAAAATTTCCCTCTATTTATAATAAGTTCAAATGAAAAACCAAAGGAAAAACTTACATTCTATTATTTATAACTTATTCTGAAAAATTTCAATTTCCTTTTTGAAGAAATGTATTTCAGCTTCTTGTTGAGCACTACTAGAAGTTATTGCCTATTGGTAGTTATATTTCTCCATGTTGTTTTTGATTTCTGAATTCTGGACATTCCTGATGCAGAATCAACTGGAAGTTGAAGCCTTCATGCAATATTTTATAGATTCTGAAGAAGCAAAACTATCTGAAACAAACAATGTATTAATATTTCATGTCCAGTACTTACTATCAATGATATGATTTATGTAGTAAGGTACCAACCATTATTGAATCTACTGAAAGTTCAAGTCTGCATTATGTACAATCTTTCATAATTTCCCAAGAAGCTAAAATATCTTGGAATAAAATATCTCTGCTCTGATGATATCATCATTTTGTGTTATCAATAACCTCCTGAAACAAATAATGTACCTATAATATTTCATGTTCCAGTACCTACTATATCAATGATTTGATTTAGGTACCTACCTTTATTGAATATACTGAGAGTGCAAACATGCATACAATCTCACATAGATTTCGAAGAAGCCAAAATATCTTGGAATGAAACATCCTTGCTCTGATGACATCATCAATCTTGTGTTCTCAATAACTTCATCTGAAACAAATAATTAACCTATTAACATTTCATGTCCAGTACCTACTATATCAATGATTTGATTCAGGTACCTACCTTTATTGAATTCACACTGAATGTTCAAGCTTCCATACAATATTTTATAGATTCTGAAGAAGCAAAGATATCTTGGAATAAAACATGTTTGCTATGATGATATCATCAAGTTTGTGTTCTCAATAACCTCCCAATCAGCCAAAGTACGTCTTAAAGGCGTCTTTAAGACGTACATGTCGCGACATAAGTACGTCTTAAAGACG